AAATACCTATTGTAGAGATAAATTCATGTGCTTTATTTTCCCGATTTGCCCTAGTTTTCACACGAACACAATTTTAGCAGGCGATTTGTATTCACTTTGCGAACTCTGTGATTTCCGTTGAAGTTTCAATAATATTTCGAGTATCTCATATTGCCCTTTAATTGTGATGTTAATTGAAGCCCTAGCATAAACATCACAATTAAGGAGCATGATGAAATGCTTGAAATGTTATTGAAACCAACGGAAATCACAGAGGTCATAAACTGAAATCAAATACCCCGCTAAATTTTGATGTAAACCCAATCGATAAAGAAGATTTCTTCTGCCAGTAGTGGAAATTAGAGTTTAGTTTTCATTGCAGCCGCTGAGATAAGCGACAAATAGCATTCTGCAGGCGTATATTGCAGTTTCCAATCTATAATCTCTGTGATCTGTGGATGTCAAGTCAAGCGTTTCACAATTTGTCGGACATATTTGAAAATTGGGATTTTTTCTCTACGGTTTGACCAAAATATTTTTTGTTAACTGTTGAGAATACGTTGTGTCGTCAATACCTTCTATGCGGATATTTTAATTGTTGTCGGTATGAGTGATCGTGTAGAGAGTGGCTATAATCTGGAGCAAAAGTACGATTCAATTCACGTGCCCATACCTGACCTGCTCAGTAGCAATGGTATACCAAATGCCAGTTACGTCCGGTCGAAACTCAAGGAATTTTCGTCCTTGTTCAATAGCTCTTTTAGAATTGCTATTTTGCAAAGCGAACAATCAGAAAAGAAGGAATTAAAATATCTACTTTCATCTTTGGAGAAAAGCCTCAAACTCGCCGTGGCGGAACTGGCAAATAGTCAAAAAAATCGAGTGCATGTGTTCAGGTAAGTTCCAAGATAGGCATTCTAATGCTACACGAATCACCCTAATTGCCCTAAATCCGTTTCCAGCATCTCCAGTCCTCTTAAGCCACATTAGCTCATCTTCATTACATAATTTCGAACTAAAATTGGGCCAAATCCGACATCAACAACAGTCAAAGTTTTAAGGTTGGTTGGTGGTTGGTCGGTCAGTACCAAGTCAGTACGGTTTTTCATCCTTGAGATATAAGGTCTGTTCTCAGAACAGTTGGAAACTGTCACCAGGCAATCGCTTCGGATCCAGTTTTAATCTAAAGTCTTTTTGAACGTTGGAAAGGTTGAGGTTAGGGTTGTTGTTAAATATCAGGGGACCATTTGCAGCTGCTTCGAATTTTATTAGAACGCAATTAGTCCACGCATTTTTGTTAAAAAATGATAATTCATTCTGTTTCCGTTTCAATGGCAATTGTATTTCTGCATGTGCAAGTTTTTTTGCACTTTTCGGTAATTCGATTTCATAACTTTCCGTGATAGATAACAAAATACACCATCATAGGTGGAACTCTATGCTACACGGGCAAAAATCAAATTAAGCAACAATCATAGGTGGCAACAATCGCCAGTTTAAAAGTCCAAACGCTCCCTGGTGGATAGAATTATAACTACAAGTCAACTAGTCATTTGACACTTGTGATCACATCTAATTATGATTTGTTTTGTCTAATCAACTTTTGAAAGCTTTCCATTTTTGTTACAATTGCAACTCTCAATTTTGGCTTGTTTACCAACTTTAATAGATAAACAAGAGTGACAAGTCTCAACTGTCACTCATCGGTAGTAGAACTCGCGAATACTTTATATTACAACATGTTGCCAAAGTCTATGTCGGTAAATTTCCATTTTAGTTTTATTTGTTCATCAACTGTCATCAGGCAACGGTTTGACAGAGTAGGGACATCACAGCAGGCTTAGTGCATCAACTCAAAAACAAAATTGGTTGATCCCAGCTTGCAAATAAAAAGTTCTGGTAGTTTTCGTACCAAGACATTCAAGAATTCCTCACTTGCCCAAAGCGGATGAACTCGGTTGTTTCAACAAAACATGAGCGATGAGCGTTACATTCAAGTCCATCATATCATTCTCCCCATATTAAAAAAATATTTATTTTTGAAGAACTTTGACCATCAATAACAGAGGAGCCGGACATTTTTTTTTAATAAAGGTTAGGTGATAAATTCTTCATTTGAGAAAGAATGGCTCAGTGCTCTTTTGTCCATGCACTTATGGGACATCCTGTATACATAGATATACAAGGTCATTCAAAAAAATAAAAAAAATTAAAATTAAATTATTAAAAACTGAAAAATTTGCAAAAAACTATATCACAAATACGGCAGCAATGTTTTTCAAGGTAATCTGCCTAATTAACATTGCGCAAATACCTGTCGCTTCGTAATTATTTAAAACTCCAGTAACCATAGAATTATACAGACAATAAGATAGACAAGGATAAACGGTAAATTTAACAAGATTTGTTGACTGCGCAACGTACTTTCGAAATGTCAACCTGTTCTCATAACCTCGAATATTGGTGTTTAAAAATAAACCAGACAACACCAAACATTTGAATGGTTAACTCCAAACAAGCTAGTGCCTGTGTAATCTCCTTGTTATCCATTCTTATCAAGCAGCTTCTCGTATTCAGTTAATTAACTCCTGCTCCATTTGTACATGTGTGTGCTCCTTGTACTGTGTGTGTATCGTACAAACGTGGTAGGAATGTAGCCGTTCCTCGGTGTTTATTTGGTGCTTGGGAAAGTGTCAGTTATTGTGCTCTGAGTGCCCCTGAAAAGTCCTGATTGGGTTATGTCCAATACTTGTTCCTCTGTGCCTGGAACCCGAACATCGATTGTCGTCCACTATCTTCCTGGAACCACTCTCTTCGCCTTTTGTAGGCGTGAGTTCTGTCAGCTTCTGCTATGTTACTGTAGCATTTCCCCTGAACTATTCGCATATCCGCAAATTTGTGAAAGTAGATTCAAAGTAAGTCACAGTTTGACAAATTATTGTTATGATTGATAAGGGCTATCCACCTGTAATTATCTGTTAATTACAAAAAACATCATTGCCGCTTTGACTTTTCATCAAAAAATTGTAGAAGAAAACTTTTTTTATATCAAAAATTTTCGTAATTTGAACCAAATATTGCAATTTTTCTTTTTGAATGGTTAAGTATTTTAATATGCGTCCAATTTAACATGGAACAGTTTCAAAATAATGCTTAATAACAAAGTCGAAATTCGATCTTCAACTGTTAATATCTTCTAGAAATTTTCGAAAACAAAATTTTCAATATTTTTCTCGTAGTCTCCAAGTGGGCCTCTATCACCCCTTAAAAGGAATGACGCCAATTTTGAATCACCCTGTATAGTAGCAGATATAATTATTTACCTGTATTTTATCTTGTTATCCGTCCGATTTTATTATCAGAAAGTGAATAAACCGACACTAAATATAAGAAAATAGCGAAAATGTTATTGTAAAATTGTAACCTTTTCTGACACCACTCAATTTTTTCCATAATATGTAGTTTATTCCATAATCTAAAAGGGGGTTAATATGATATGAAACCCGATATGAAAATCAAATAATCAGTGGTAGTTTTATTAATTCAGTTTTATTGGCCAAATATGCCCATGTAACAAAATTTCTTTACGTTTTCGTCCTTTTCTAGTTGTTGACTAGATTTAATTAGAGATAATTATTTTTTTTGGTTAAGACTGAGATAAAAATATAAAATTAATGCAACCCTAAGAAAAAAAGGTCTATTTATTCATCTCTCAAGTGCCACTCAAGAGTGTAGATTTTGTTCATATATTAAAATATACGTCTTAAAATTATCAGTTATTGATAATCTGATTGTGATTGTTCTACAATAAGACACCTTTGTGTAATTGGTTTAGTGGCAATCACCAAGCACGGTGTGGTGATTGATCAACTTTATGAACATTTTTTTTTTATTAACTTTTGCCATAAGGCTTATTATATGAGCGCATTTGATAATAAACAACGTCAGTCTAATAAATTGTTTACTATCAATTCCAGTTGTGGTATTTGTAATGAGGAAATCGAGGTAAATCAAGATAAAGACATATGGACTTGTTTGCAGAGTCATGAGCATTTTGAGCAGCTCTATTGTCAGCTTTTAAATAATACCCTTCAACTAATTCCGTTATCTAACAAAGAAATATCATCTTTATCTGAGAGAAGAACGAATACAATGGAAGCAATTACGGGAGTCTCAGAAGTTCAACCTGAAACCCTTCCGTACAGTGGAACTGATCAGCATGGAATAGACTCATATAAAAACATTGGCAACTCTGAAATCAGTCACGAAAGTGCTGGAAAATCAGATGCAGATAGTGGTAGTGACATCGACCAGGAGGAAAAAGTAAGACCTAGTAGTGACTTCACGTTACAGATAATACTGTTTTACTTTATTTCTAGGATGATTTAGATCCAGATGACGTGAACAAGTTCCGTTTTAGTTTCCCAGTCTCTTATAATAAAATAGTAGAAAGTGCCCTTTATCCATGCAGGATTGCGAATCGTATACGGAAATATGACCAAGTAAAATACTTTTCCATTATGAAAATTAGTTCTACGAAAGCTGTTTGTTTAGTATGCAATTGTGAAATCAATGATGTAAGAATTAGAAACCATTTATTGATGAGCCATGTGATGGGTAGTAAACATTTAAAGTCATCTATGCAACCTCAAGTTTTGCAATTGGTCGAATTCTATCATGATTTCTGGCTGAATAAAGATCCTTGCATTCAAGCACATCAAGTGTATCTTAGACCAATCGATTTGACATACATGCAGTGCAGCCTGTGTGATTGTGCGCTTTGTATTGATGATATAGTCGGGCATATACAACTCAATCCGCACAAAAAAAATGTTATTCACAATTTTGAATCGAGAGTGAATTCGAATTATCTCATTGATTTACAAGTTGAGGCTTATGGAATTCGAAGAGAATCAGTTGAAGGAAAGAAAGATGTAGAAAGTTCTCCAGAGACAAATCGGAAGGAGAAGCAAAAATTGGAGGAAATTAAAAAATATGCTGATGGGGGTAAGTTTAGCATTTTGAAGTTGAAAGTTGCGAAGTTTACGGGAGAATTTTTTCCAGTGGTTTCAAAATGAATAAAAGTGGTTACTAAATTATAGTAAAAACATTATAGTCTGCAATTAAGCGGTTGTCATAAAGTTCTTACTGCATTTAATCGTAGGTAATAAGCGTAAGTGTAAGATATAACATACAGTGTGTCCAGTATAAAATGATGTACATGGGGATATTGAAAACCGTTAAAGATACAGAGTGGACCAAATGGGGAAAAAGTTGCGCAATCAAGTGCCTATAAATAATCTGTCATCAACTTCTTTGAACTCGGAATAGCAACGAATATACAGGGAAAAAAAGAAAAAAGTGCGTTTTATAAAATCCTTTATATCGTGTTTATTATAAAAGATACAATAACGAAATGTTCAGGGTGGGGGTAAGAAATGAGCGTGAATTTAAAGCGTGAAAATAAAGTAAAAAATAATCTAGGCCCACTATGTTCAATGAGGCCGAAGTCAACTTTTGTTTTTCTTATAGGCGCCATATTGAATTTCTGCATTTTTAAATTTCCCTTTAAATATGCTCTTCAACCATATATAACATGTTTATGTTCGGTCAAGATAAATAATTAAAATTAACAAAATTAAGATTCTATGGTAGTAGGCATTGATACGTCTCTTCAATTTTCCCATGTTTGTTTTCCATTGTCTGTTTTAATTACCTAGGTAACTGTCAAAGTAGAATTGATTGTCAGTGTCAAGTGTTTGTAATTAATTGTGTTTTTCAAAATGAATCACTTCAAATTATGAAAAATACGATATGTTGGAGTGTTTTATTCTATGTCGTCGAAATGAAGCGAAAGCTGAAGAAATGTATTTAAATAAATATCCAGAAAGGCGACAATCTGGAACAACTATGTTTAGGCGTCTGAAAGACAACCTTGTAGCTTACGGGAGTTTTGCTAAGATAAAGAAAAACAAACTTCCAGACGGAAATAAAGACAATTTGGTAATGCAAAGCTTGGTTGAGACACCTCGTACGTCAAATTGAAGCCACAACAGGTGTTGCGCGGTCAACGGCAAGTAGTATTTTAAAGCGTCATAAATATCACCCCTATCGTGAACGGCCCTGCCAGGGACTCCAGAATGGCGATGCGATTAGAAGAATGGCATTTTGTCAGTGGTTTATTCAAAGAAATAAGGGGACACCAAACTTTTCCTTAAAAGTCAATTGGTCAGATGAGAGCGAATTTACTAAATGTGGACTATTTCATCGTAAAAATACCGTTTTTTGATCTGATGAAAATGCACGGCTAGTTCGTCAAGTTAGGTTGGTTTAACGTCTGGTTAGGTATTGTGGGTACCCACGTGATTGGACCATTTTTTAAAATGATAACCTAAATTCCAAGAGATATTTGAACCTCTTACAAACTAACGTAGCGGAAGCACTTATGAATGTTCCAGTAGCTACCCTGCAAAACTTGTCATTTCCAACAAGACGGCGCGCCGCCACATAATGAACGTATTATCACAGAATTTTTAAATCACGAATTTCCCAACAAGTGGATAGGCAACCTGGGACCAGTAAGGTGGTCTGCGAGATCGCCTGACATAACACCGCTTGATTTTTTTGCATGGGGTTTTCTCAAAAATGTGGTATACTGTAGGTCATACGAAACCGAAGAGGAGCTGAGACACACTGTTATAGAAGCTGTTAACAGATTTACCCCAGAAATGATCAGAAAATCCTGTGACGCAGTAATGAGACGATGTATGTTGTGCGGGCGAGAAAACGGTGGCTTATTTCAACACATTAATCCTAAAATGTTACTTGTTCTTTTGCAGTGTTCGATGTATGATCAATAATAATTTAAAGCAATAATTAATGGAAATATCAATGCCTACTACCATTAAATCTTAATTTTGTTAATTTTAATTATTTATCTTGACCGAACATAAACATGTTATACATAATAAAAATGCAGAAATTGAATATGGCGCCCATAAGAAAAACAAAAGTTGACTTCAGCCTCATTGAACATAGTGGACCTAGATTATTTTTTACTTTATTTTCAAATTCGCGCTCATTTCATACCCCCCCTCTGAAAATTTCGTTATTGTATCTTTTATAATAAACAAGATATAAAGGATTTTATAAAACGCATTTTTTTCTTTTTTTCCCTGTATATCCGTTGCTATTCCGAGTTCAAAGAAGTTAATGACAGATTATTTATAGGTACTTGATTGCGCAACTTTTTCCCCATTTGGTCCACCCTGTAACTCTAACGGTTTCCAATATCCCCATGTACGTCATTTTATAGTGGACACACTGTATATTGCAAATAAAAAAAGCTATTAGCTGGTTTGATTAGAGTTTAGATTTCAAACTGCAAATTTTAGTCGAATTGAACTTCTTCCGGAATTTCTGTACTAGGCACTGAAACAGACTCACCCTGCACACAAGAATTATTTATTAGAGTTAGAAAACGCTTGAATTTTCAGATTCACAGAGTAGAAAATTTGAAATATGTACAAGGTGATTTACAACGTTTACAATTGCTCTTCAAAACTTTAAGTGTATAGGCCATGTCAAACATACATAAAGTTTAATTTCGTAGTTTATGCTCTAAATAGGCCCAGTCTTCTAAATGAGAACAGCACAGGTTTAACGGTTTCATTATTAAAAACAATTAGATTTTTCTGATAAGGTGAAAATAAAATAGGGTCTTTGCACATAATTTATTTTTAGTTGAAACTTTAGCGTACGAGTTGTTGATAAGAATGCTTATAGCAAATTTAAAAAAAATGGTGTCAAAAAAACATCGAAAGTTACCATCTTCGCTTTAAAAATGACGTCAAGCCATAACGCGGTTTGACTGGCTGTAACGTCAAACGGTACGTCGGATAGAATTCCTACGCTAGTTATATGGCCATAACCAGAATGTATACTTCACATAAATTCAATACAGATGAAATATACAATAATAAAGCTTGTATGTAAATCGTCATTTATTATGTTAAGTCTATTTCGTTTCAAAACTACGGCTTGTACAGGAGGGTTAATAGTTCGTTTTCTATATTTTGAGACTCAAATTTATGTGAAACAGCATCTTTTTTCTTTCTTTTCCGTCCTCCCATCCTTTTACACTTCATAAAAGGTTCCATGTCCTTTTCAAGCTGTGAAATAAAATAAACCAAAATTGCACGTAACAAAACAAATGTGACATCTAAATTTAACATAATACATACATGGTTCATAACGCGTACATTTTTTTTCTGTTTCTTTTCGTTTAATGGCACTTTTATAAATGTTTTTTTCTGTTGTGGACATAGTGGTACTTGTGCACTGTGACACCATACGGTATCGATAAACCATTTTATTTTCAATAATTGAGAAACAAGCAAAGCGAAAGTCGAAATTCACACTAGAGCACGACAACACGGATAAGCGCCGAACGTGGCGGAGCTGAAACGTACCCAGCCACGACACATAAAGGCCGGGTCACATCTATCCGGTCCGACTACGATCATACAATCGGACGAAGATCTGAGACCAAAATGGTACTGGACTTTCAACGCCGTAGTTCACATCTTTCCGCTACCTGCCCGATCCGTCTCCGTTTTTGTATCCGATCATGTTCCGATTTTGCTG